CAAAGGTACATTTATTCTGATGATGGTAGATTTTAAAGGGCCACTACAAAAATACATTAAAGCTCTTTTACTTACAATTTTCTTTTTAAAGTCATTCCTTTATAAACGATAAAGTGACGATCAAAATATATATAATTTATTTAAGATAAGCTTATATTATAAGCACATCTTAAATACTTGTATCTCAAAACTAGACTAACGCTAGTCCAAAAATTATGATTTTCAAATTATTACATTTTTGTATGTGTAATTATGCATACTATACATTAATGTGCATCAGCAAAATTCTGTTACGTTGCCCCCTCCCCTTTCATATTTTATCAAAAAAAAAGAGTTAAATTAAAAAGAGTTTAATTGTTAAGTTAAGTTTGCGCCAAACAAATTCCACATAATTCTCATAAAAAATTAATAAACTAATTGTATATTAACCGAGTAGTTTTTGTAATGTAAAATTATTAGCAAACTGATTTTTTTTAAATTTCTATAGCGATTCAATTAAATTAGATTTTTCTGTTTTTATGCTTTCCTGAAAAATTAATTTAATGTGACTTACGTTTGTCTATTTATGAAGTACGGATAATATCATATGCACGGATGCATAATATCTGTAAAAAACATCTATGGATATTTCGTGTAATTTGCTTCCACAGTTCCCTTGTATTCAGATATTTTTTCCGTTAAAACTTTCATATCATTATTAGAATTTTATGGGTATAGAGAAGTATATTTTATATATTCTATTAAATAAAACAAATGAAATGTACTCTCATTTATTCTAATATATACTTATATTCAGAGTGATTCTTTTAATGTTAGCCACTCGATATCTTTTAAAATAATAATTATGTTAAGAAAATGATTTTTTATTTTCATATAGTTCTCGATTATTAAATTATTGTTTAATTAATCTCTTATACCTTATATGAGTGTCAACTTAAATTTTTTAATGTCATTATATTTGATATTTAAATAACTTATAAAAAAAAAAATTATTTAATTAAGAGAATGGCTGGTTGATAACAACATTTGACCAATTATTTCATAAGTTTACTATTAAAATATAGAGGTTACTACCAACCTCTTATAAATTAAAAAAAAAATTTAATAATTGATAAATGTATAAAATTCAAAAATAGCATGAAGAAATTTCTTAACATAATTATTATTTTAAAAGAAATCGAGTGGCTAATATTAAAAAAATCACATCGTATATGAAATAAAATTTTATGTACATAATAGTACCAAACAGTGATTGAAATCTTTTAAAAAAGAACTTTTTAACTGTTTAAAAATCGTCTCTGAAGAAGATGACGGAAATGAACCGAGAACCCAACCAGAACTTGAAATTATTTGTTTTTAAAAATCGTATAAAGTACCGGAACTCAACCAAAAACAATTATTTTAAAGATTAGAAAAGTAATAAATAATTAAATATGTCATAATAATATCATATTCATGAGTTAGGGATAGAGATTAAGGGATAAAGAAAATTATCAATAAAATTTTCAGGGTAAGGGGAATATTCTTCTGCATATGATATATATTAATGTAGAATGTAAAATCAAAAAAAATAGTACATAATAATTTCTGTAAATATATGGAATTAAACATGACAATTATTTGAAGTAATGAATATTTATTTAAATATTATAATGGAAAAATAGTCATCTTTTACTTGGTTAATATTCGTATGATAACAAAAATATTAAAAATTTTACGAATAAACATCAAGCCAAAAAATGATTTTGTATTTCTATGACTTTTAACTTTATTTGATTAAAATATCTGAAGTTAAATAGATAAATTTAAAAGTGAATAACTTTTCCTTTTTGGCCAATTTAGGAAAATTTCTAAAATCACATCATACGCATTTCAAATAATAATAAAATTATGATTTTATAATTTCGATAAGGTATAAATGAATTTTTTATCATATTGACTAAATTTCTTCTAAAACAATAATAATTATAGAATTTTATTTTTTGGATTATTTATGTAGTATTTATTTTTCAATTTTTAAGCGGTAAAATATTTTTAGCTAAATTTTAACTAAACATATTTTAACTTAATTATATGATAGAAAATCATCTAAGAAAATGACTGGTCTATAACAACTTTTGAACTAGTATTTCATGAGTTATAAATTTTTTTTATTTAGAGCTGAGTGATGCGTAACAATAAAAATAATATAACCTAAACCTCACCGCCAGTCTACATTTAAGAATGATAATATTTTTTAATATGAACCAGTTAAATATGTATATTGCCATTTGAGAAAATAAAGTTGGCACTCTCATAAGGGAAAGACCTAAAAAAATATTTAACCACTCATAAATCGAGAAATAATAAAAAAAAGAAATTTTAATTATTATTATTAGTATATTAGGAGTAATTTAGTGATTAACCATAAATCAATGTCACTGCACTAATAAGTTTTGACAGTCTCAGACTATGTCATGTCTTTTTATCAAAACTTTTAAAGTATTGTTAGAAACATAGTAAATAGCCCTAAAAATGAAATGTTGTACATTTTAAATTGAAAGGTTGTCTCCAAAAAAAAATTGAAGATTAATAATTTTTTCAATATTTTTATGCAATTAAATAATAACAGACTAAAAATAAAAGAACATTATAAGAACAATGGATCACGTTCCAAAATATTGACACAGTACATAACATTAACAATAATAATTTATTTACAACAGGTTCTTAATAATATTATAATACAACAAGCTGTGCCCGTTAGCCGAACGACTGGCGCCCGCGTGTTTATAAAAATAATTGACTAAACGCATTTTGGGGACGCAAATACAAGTGGGAGATTTCAAGGAGGAGCTTATGTTTTTTAACAGATTTACATGACCGTAGAGTACTGTACGTGACGCCGCCGCCGGCGTTTGTGTTGGGTACCACACACACTATGCCTCAGACAAGGCCAAGGTGTCGTCAAGTCCGATTTTCCGGTTGTGGTGGGAACAGACGACGAGTGACGTCGACGGTGATGAGTTGTCGATCGAAAGTTGGACGGCGTGGAAGCAGACTGCTTTTTTCGATGCCGGAACTTAGGGGTGGAACTGGGGAAAGAAGAAGCACGCGGCCGACCGTGCACTATTTCGTGACTTATGTTCAACGATTCTTTTAGGAACCTATAGTAAGTGGTCAACACACCCCAATCCTGAATCAGCATGGCCGTGTGATCTGGACTCGGGTCCCAACCCTTTCCGCCCAAAAGCACGGACTGGGCGCTTTCTGGAATCTTCCAATTACGCCACGATCCAATATTGACTATTGCAGTTTCCACTTCGCACAGTACCTACAAAAAAGTGTTTTATTAATTTTAATTTATAAAAAATAAATTGTGGAAATAAAAATAATAAAGTAGTTTAAATTAATGGTAATAATTGACCAGTGTACCCATCAACAAATTAACCTCTAGAACTTTTTATTGACTGTTAAATATTTACAAAAAATAATTTATTTCAACACAACAATTTAACCTTTACTTAAAAATTATTTATAATATTAGATCAAACTCTGATTAGTTTAAAATTACAATTTTTTTGGTTAAATAAACTACTATANCTTTTACTTAAAAATTATTTATAATATTAGATCAAACTCTGATTAGTTTAAAATTACAATTTTTTTGGTTAAATAAACTACTACACCACTTGTCATTAAACATTTACAAATATTAGTCGCCTAATTTCATAAAAATTGTATAAGTTCATTTGTAAGAATCATTCTTGTTTTTTAGTTAACCTACCACAACAATTTATCTCTTATTGTGAGTATATGTTAACAACATAATGATAAGTTTTAAAGTCGATCATTTAATGTATGACTCAATATTTATTATTAGTTGACGAAACAATTCATTTTGTTCAGGACTTACTGTAGAGCTTCAGAACTAAATAATAATATTTGATCATTTTAAATTTTAAGTCAGCGATTCATTTACGATCGTCTTACTTAATTAAAAAATAATAATATTAAAATTTAATATCCTAGTAGGGCTACCACCCTCCTCCTCCTGAGAACGGCCCGGATCTTAATTTTTCCTCTCTTAAAACGAAATNTCTTAATTTTCTCTCTCTTAAAACGAAATCTTATCCTTCTAAAATTTTCAATGGCCGATATTTTAATTTGTTTGGCTATAAATTGAACTGATTCAGTGAAATATTCAAATTAGTTGAAAACCGTAGAAAGAGTGGAAGTCTAGCGGTCGTTGTATTTAAAAAAAAGAGCCGTAAAATTTGTAACTCGAAAAAGGCAGCCGCTTTGGCTGTTTCGACCGGGAATACAATAATAATAACAGTAATTTATGATTGTCTCTTCATCCGTGTCGCTAAGCGAAAGGAACATGTTATACGTTTATGTGCAGACATTTTGGTGCTTTTGTACAATAATTTTTCTACGTGAATAGATAAAAACTGCCGAGTTATGTACGTTGATTGCTAACCAGAGGCGTCCCGCCGGGTCTCATCAATGGAGACCGCACAAACATTCACGCCTTTATTATTACGGTGATTTATTCTGGGACGTCTGTATAAAACATCTGCTTTTTTCTAGTCTTTATACGCGTTTGAGCAGCGTAGTTTATATTCAATTGGTGTCTAACACCTTTGCTCTTGTGGCGCCAGTTGTAGGGGCGGCCAAAAGTACCCAGGTCTGGTTGTGCGCAAAAGTTATTCACCAAAAGTATTATGATGTAACGCTCATTGAAAACCGATGATTTGTGTGGTCGATAATTAAACCACTTGATAAACGTGCAGTGGTATTCCCTCGATCGATCTTCGCGAAAAGTAGGTAAGCGTATCAGTACAATACAATCACACCTAAATAATAGTAGGAGTTGTCCGAATAATAATAATACCTATTGGGTTCATGGTTGTTAGACACGGTCAGTGGTGTAATCGTGCGGTCATTCATAGACAATTTAGGGACATTACAGTCGCGTGCGCTACCGGTAAGCCGTCAACAGACCCGGAAACGGACTTGCAGTGTTATTGAATTATGTAACAGAAATCATTTTTTACCGATACTCGTTTTCGGACCGAGTGGTAATGTACTGCCAAAACAATATCTAAAGGAATTCCATTTAATTTAAAAAAAACCTAATGCGATAATAGTAAATTTAAAACGAACAAGAGAGAAGCCTTATTCGTGTTGAATGTTTGAACAAATTCAGATACAAACTTAGAAAAACTATTATCTCGTGTTAATTTTTAAGTGATCATCATATAAATTTGGACGGGCGAATAAACAAAACTTAAGAAGCTCGATAAAAAAAATTTAAGTTCTCATTCATCACTCGGTACACAAAATAATATGTCTAATTTTCTGTTAATTTTTAAGGATTATGTCTTCCTACTAATTCCTGTCAATGTTTCCATGCGGTAATAAATCATATTCATGGAATTACTGATATATTTATTATGGGCCCTTTTAGTAGTATGCTGAAAACTTTATTACCAAGGGGATTTTTTCGATAAGTCAGTCGATCACGTGATGTTTATTAAAGTCGCGTTAAGTTTATTGAAGCCTTTTTTCAACAATAATACCGAAATGTTCAGATGAATCTCTTTCTCTTTGACTACACACCTGGGCACATTAAATATGTACTAACGTGATAATAGTATAACGCCTATTAAGTGCTTAAACTTTAAACGACCAAACAATATTATTGTTTTCTACTGACAAACCAAATAAATCAACTCGAATATTTTTACGAGGGTCAATTCATGTGTAAGAAAATTTTTTTTACTGGTCCTATCTATGAGATACAATTATTTTTATTGCGAGGGTGGGCGCATTCGATGCTTATCATTCCTCAGAGAACAACATCGTTAAATGTTTAACTTTAATGAGTATTATCAATACGATAAGAACTAATCGTAGCACTAACATTTCAATAACCTACGGCGGTTTTAAAGGATAGTGTGCTCTGATGTTTTCCTCGGAGATTGACAAGAGAAACGTGTGCAACAAGTATGAAAGACATCATAATAATTTTCGAGGACCTGCGTAGAGCGATTCCTTTTATTGGAGAACATTATTAAAACTGTCAAGATGCGCGTTAAATCGGATGTATACAAATCGCGTGAAACCTTTTTCTCTTTCTCTGTCGCTTAGCCTCCAAGTGTCTCAATACCCGTCCAGCACTAAAGGCACACTATCAGCCAAACGGATCTCTTTGGACTCGACCGCCACCTTGGCTAAGGACCCCTGGTCATCGTGCTGCTATATCAGCCGTGGCTTCGACCCCGGTACCCGATCCTCGTATGTATTCTGGACCTTTGTGCTGCTGGCAACGGACACTCGTTTCTCTCACTTACACACTAATCGCATAGTTTCGTTTTCTTTGCACCTACACACCGGTCTCTTCCCTGACAGGTCAAACAAACGGAAGCCTCTCTCTCTCGCTCGTCTCTTTTTCTCTTTGTCACCGTCTCTCTGTCGGCCAGCAAACAATATCATTGTGACAGAACACGTGTTCCACCGGGAGTCGTTGTTGTCACAACGGGAGGTGTTGCTGAAAAAAACACAGTGATAGCGAGTGGTATCTACATGCATGTACTTGTGTATTATAACATTATGTGCGTGCGCCCCTAATAATATTATTATTCTTTGATGAAAACGCCTTCGGACCGGCCTTCAATGTCCGCAGTCGTTGCAAACGCAAGAGGTGGCTGCAGCGATTGCCACGGCGTCCACTTATTGCAACGGGTGCTACGTAGGAGGTCTTCGATAAGAGTGCTAGTTGTCGTTCTGGTATTACACGCTCTTATTATTTAATGTGTGTGTGTGTGTGTGCATAACGTGCACACCTCGATTTTGTTGCGCACCTCAAGTCTTTGATAACTTTATTCGAATAGATGTGGTCAAGTTTTTAGAAAACGACTGTGGAATAGGATCTTTCCTTATTCCGAACGACTAAAAGTCTTTTTTACACCATGTAATAATGAGTTATTAAGTTATTTTTTTTTTTTAGATCACAGTATCGGTATAAAACTTGTTAAAACATAAATAACAATACTTAAAAATCAATTTTAAATCGACCGTCATTTGATAATTAAAATTTGTTTGGATTTCTCACAAAATGTGAGATTGTCAAAATGAAGGAATGAATAATCTAAGCGGACGAATAATTTAACTTGTACAGAAGGGAATTATATTGTTATGAATCCACTTGTCTATTAATTATCCATAAATTTATTCCTAACCAAAAGTGACCAACTTGAATTTTGAAAGGGTTATTATCCATTGTGCCACCTAAAGTCTACCAGTAAAGCTACTGCTCTAGGACATAATATTATTGTATGCGATTAAATAGTGTTTAGAGAATATTTTGACTTAAATAATTTTTAGTCCATTTATTTATGATAAATACTAATATGATTTGTTCAAATGTCTTATAGGACGCTAATTGAATATTTTATCTCCGACTAGCTACAAATAATAATTTATTAATATTACATTTTTAATTAATGTACTCACAGCGATTAGATGTTTATATAAATCGTCGATCAAAGATTTTCTTGTTTTATAATCGAACGTGGAGTTGGTTTCATTAAAATTTCGCATTTGGTCTAATGTTACAGAGAAATTGTGCAATGAATCTCTGAGCATGGGCAACAACATAAACAACTAAAAAAAATAAATAAATAAAATAATAACCTCAAAAAATGTATTGTTAAATGTTAATATTGTCTTTATTGACTACAACAACAATTTAGGAATTTAAAACTCATCAATCTTCATTGGGTCAGTGGGCCGTCGTAGACACAATATTTTGTTCATATTTATACTGTTACAAAATTATAATATGATCAAACAGAATAAATTTGTTTATGGCGCTTAAATTATTTTTATAATAATCACTCCATCATTAAGTTTCAATCATTTACCGGAAAATGCGTTGGACACAACTATTAATTTTGATTATAATACAACACTGTAGTAAAATTGAATACATTTAATAATTGTGTGTTTTATTGGTAGTTAAATTTTGAAACCGACTGTGACTTATCATATTTTATTATTTTGTAATCATTTGAATACAGTTATTTCAATTAAAAAATATTTGCATAATTGCTTTTTTCAAATCACCACAAATCAAACATTTTATGATAAGACTAAATTTGAATAATGGAAATAAAATTTTAATTTTAAATATTGTACACAGCTTTTGCAAAACAAATTTCAATACTTAAAATTGACTAGTATTTTAGACTGTCAGACATTATACCAAAAATGTTTGCAGTTAAATTCAATTATAAATTTTTCGGCTTTTTAGGAATGCTGATTAAATAAGGAATGGCAACATTATTTTAATTACATTTCAATTTGTTTAAACATATTTGCTCACCTTGGTCTCTTTGTCAAGTTGTTTGACATATTTATCGTACCATAACATTGGACTAAAAGGTAGCCACTCATATTGGTACACATTAGTTCGTAATATGTAGTCCGTTTTCATTTCGGACTTGACCTAAACATAAACTAAAAATAAGTTTTCAATTCCCAGCAATATTATAACAAAAAACAATTAAAATTCATAATCAGACACACTAATTAGCTATAAATGATGTATTGTATCACAATAAATTATTTTTTTTAGCATAAAAACGGAACTTAGGAGTTCAGTCTGAAAGATCATATTCATTTGCATAATAACGCAATTGATGATATTTATTTTTTTGCGCTGACTTATAATTAAGTAAAATTGTAATGATTAGTTTAAAAAACCAATGGCCAATAGATTAAATAATAATTACAATTATTATTTAATTACTTTAATCGACACTTAATTTTTGAATATTTTTTAATAAAATGATAAATATTGTATATGACATTTTTATATTTGTTAGAAAATATAATCATCTATCGTTAATATTAGCTATGGTTCATAATAATTACTGAGCAGATACTATACCAATTATAAATTTAAAGTAGACGTTGACATATTTCAATCTTATATTACAATCGTTTCTAATTTCAAAATAATGATTATTAAAAAAAATTATAACCTATGAAAAGGTGAAACATTTTAGTTATACGAACCTAACTTTTATGAAAGAAACAGATCGTCTAATAGCTTAACTGTCCAAAAAAAAAAAAAGTATTCTCTGAAATTACAGCCGAGTAGTAATGTTATTTCTTTTAATACGTCTAATTAATCAGAACGCTATTAAAACCAAGGAAATAATTAAAAACTGTAATAGTAATAAAAACGTAAAATTTAGAACGAGTTGAAGAATACTTTTCGCACTACTTTTATTGTTATTGGGTAATTGGTCTCTCGGTTTGTCGTTAATAACAAAAAATTGAACAAAAATGATACTACTTACTGGTAAGTAAAGGTTCTCGGCTAGGTCTACATTACGTTTGTAATGCATTCTAGCCCTTTTCAACTCTGTTTGTACTCTTCGTAGTACATTAATTTCATCGTCTTTCTGTAATGACTCCATACCTTGTAAAGGAAGTGGTGTGGATATGTCGTTGAATAGATGTTCGTCAGAAAACTAAACATAACAGTCAATATGTCTTAGTTAAAGTTTCGACGAACAATGCGAAGCACTTGAAATTTATTAGATCAATTATTGCTTACCAATACTTGACCGCACTGTTTAGAGGTCAGTGAAATTATTGGTACGTTGGTGAAATGTGAAACAATAGAGACTTCCGAAACCACCGGAGTCGCTGTGCAGATGAATATTAAAAATTGTATTGTTGAATCAAGTATTCGACATGTTTTATGACTGGCTAAAATATGTAAATATAATTACCACAGTTTTATTTTTTCACACGAACATTAAGTGTTTATTTTATTTATTAGTATAAATAGATTTCAAAAAAGTAACATATTTTTAAAGATATATAAAATCCATTATATTTTTTAAACACGTAACAATTAGCTGAATAGTTTTAAACTTTAGCCAATTGATTTTATGAATGTTTTTCATACACTTTAAATTATAAATATACTCTACGTAGAATTTACATAAAGTCGCATCATAGACATATTACAGTGATGTTAAGGGAGGCGAGGTAGATAGATTCTTCAGAACAAATACTATTTAAAAAGGGGGTTGAAGAGGAAGAGGTAGTGAAAGTTTTTCTTATCTATGTAATATAAGATTTGATTAATAACAACTAATTTATCTAAATTTTTAGTTAATACTTGGGAATTGAATATTTGGATAATAATTATTTTCAAAGAGTGGTGTTTAAAAATTACTATTAAGTGGGGTGAATATGATAAAAATTGTCTCTATATTGTATAAATACTCTTTTACTATAATATTTTAAAAATACAAGAACCGGAGGAACTATCCTCCTATTGACCCCCTCCGTATAACTGTCACTGTATTCAAATATCACAAAATTATTATTTAGAAAGAAAATTATTTAAACCGAAGTATAATGTCCATTCTTCAAAATAAAATATTTAAAAATATATTAATAAAAAGTAATAAAATATTGTCACATTTTTATTTTAATATTTTCGTGACTATTTAGTATTAAAATTTTTTGTATCTACCAATAACATCTAATATAGAAAATGAAAATTCTTAAAAATGATTAAATATATTGATATATCATATGTTTTGATCTTAAAAGAACTGTATAATACTATCTAAAGAAAATAATAAAACTAGTTCTAAACAGTTAATTGTAACAGATCACAAAATATGTCTTAATAAAAATTTTTCAGTGAGATTTACAAAATATATAAATATACCCGATGCAATGTGAAATTTAACTAACCGTTCTACAATGAAATTAAGAAAGCTGTAAGTAGCTTAACACAAGAAGAAAATATACTTTACGAGATAATACATAAGTATTGTAATTATCACCTAGTCTTATTAAACGTACACAGCACGTGATACAAGTTATGTTATTCGGTTTGTAGTAAAATTTAAGCCGTTTTTATGTAAAGAAATTAATTTGATTTCTAAAATCTCGAAACTATTACATAAAAAAATAAATAAAACTAAAAAAATGTTAAGTGTCCCTTAAACTGGCCATACACTTTAAGAAAGTTTGTTTTATAAAATCTGAAAGTATCATATTGATGAACGAATTTCAACGTAATTGAATGATATATTCTTTAATATAGTAATAATAAAAAAAACACTAGCCTAAACCACGTTAGCTTATTGAAACGTGAATTATATTTCATTTTTTGACGTCTATGGGGCTGCCTGTCTCAAGGTTGTGTGTCTGTAAAGCCAACAAAACTTAACGACGAGCAAGTGGTAATACAAAACTACAAATAACGCAATTCAACAGTAAATGTCATACATTTAATTTATCTATNTAATACAAAACTACAAATAATGCAATTCAACAGTAAATGTCATACATTTAATTTATCTATGTACAAAAAGTGTAAGTTATTATTAAAACGATAATGAATCAACGCACAGACATAACAGATATTTCATCAAATGAGTGTTTGATAGACGTCTAAGCAGAAAGTAATTCATTCAAGAAGAACACCATTCACGTTTCCGACGGATAACTTCAATACATTTTTAATTTGACATATAGGGCAGCCGATTTTAGAGTTATTCATATATTACTAATTTTAATAATTTGACGATAAATAGGATTTCATTTATATAATCAAATATCTAATATGTTTTATGTCTCAGGAGAACACAATTTATATCATTTTTCATGATGCGATTCATTCACAAAGATTCAAAAGAAACCTCCAAGTTTTAGCTGTTATTTTTAACGTCGACTTTTATTTAATATATAATAATTGTACATCTCGGACTCGGATCTCCTTGGTAAGTCGATAAGACTTTAATAATCAACGAATAAACTCAATCAAATTTATAAAATAAAATCGTTATTATTTTGCAAGACTTTCAAATGTACACAACGAAACAATGATCAAATCAAACTTGAAAATATAAAATAATTTTTATAGTCACCTAACCAGACGTACTGTAGGCTGGAGATTCGCATCTATCCAAAGCACAAAGTAGAGACAACGAAGCGTTACACTCACTGACGGAACGCGTGTGACGAGTCGACAAAGATTGCAAATGAGATCACTTCGTAAACTCTACACGCCTTCGAGGTGTTTCCGACCTCGAAAAAAACCTATTGCTGCACAACTCGTTTTTGGACGCACCGGAGCATTTAAGAATAATAAAGTTGACGTCATCGTAAACGCGGATTATTACACTGAATAGGTTTTACTAGAATAGATTGTCATCCCGTACGAGAGCGGCCATCAGGAAACGGTGGAAGGCCAACGCGAAGCGTTGCAAAAAACGGAGCGCAGCCGAACAAGGACCCTGTTAAAAAAACACTCGATTCCGCTTGTGAGTATTGTTAACGACGAAGAAAAATTAATACATGATAAGATTTCCAACTGTTTTACGGTTAAACAAGCATAATGTGTATGGCGATTCAATCCTACCTTTGAAAATCATGTCTCCGGCGGATCGTGTAGTGCGAGACGGTGCATCGACCGCGCTGTCTGCAGCGCATCGTGTCAGGCACTAAAAAACTCACGAGCATCGCCATACAGTTCCCCGTTCGCGGTCCCCCCTATACTCGTCAACACGATCGCGCCATGCCAACACCGCCCACTTGAACGATACGTTCCTCTTTAACCCTTTCGAGCTTTCGTCACGATTTCCATCCGTGTCACAGTTACGTGGTTTGCGAACAGTTTTCGCGTCTGCTTTTTCGCGCGACAATTCCGAGTCCGTTGAATTTTCCCTATGCTCACGCGTAGAAACAATTTTTGTTTATCGAGTTGGAGAAATCGAAAATTTGTCCTTAAGATTTTTTTCTCCTTGCACAGAACACGTACACTTTAAATAGACTTTTTTAGTCGTCTCATACAAATTATAACACACTCGCGGTCATTCGTTTCGTAATTATTTATTAGGCCTCTAGTGCCCACATACACTGACGACCGCAGTTGGGGGTCACCTCAATATAAAAAAAATTATCGAACGAGCAGCCGTATCCAATGCGTATGTGTAAATGTTTTCGGTTCAGGTAGGACGAACGCCATTCCAACACTGGTGATACGGTTAACCGGTGTTTGTACGCGCGCACTACATTATATAAAACATTATTATAATCATTATATTACTCGTACAGCATAATGCGATCGGCCGCCTGTTGCGGATAGTGTTTCTCCCCCGTCGGGACTCGGCAGTAATTTTAAACGGTAGTTACACTGCCCGATGCCCGTGTGTCGGTTCGGAAGCCTTTTTTTGACTCGATGTGGAATTTGCCACCCACGCGTCCAGTGTACCGTACAAAGGCGACAACCGAGTGCGAGTTATTTATGAGCGTCAAATGAAAAAACGCAGTTTACGCGCACTTTTACAAACCGTGCGCGATTGGATGGGAAATCCCAAATATTTTATTGTTGACAAGATGACGAGGAACGGGCGCAATTCTTTGATGGTTATAATAACAAAAAGATTACATCTTCATTTTAAACTTGCATTGCCGAATCAATTGTGCACATGTGCGTTATAAACACGAGTCAGGTCGATTCGTCAATCGTTTTATTGACCGAGTAAAGGCATTTCGTGTCGTACTTCTGACCGAGTACATTCAACGCGTTACGAGTCCATTCAAGAAAACTAACATACTTTACGGTCGCGTCGAAAATATTTGGGCATTCATTCGATCTTAAGTTTATAAACATATGCTTATCTTCCATCTCTTTCTATAAAAATATCTCTTTTAGAGAGGTTTCCTCCGACACTCCCGTTAATTATGTCGTTCGCTAGAAAATTAAAAATGTCGCTCAAAATTAATATATTATTAAATATGTAATCACCGAGACTCGATTTAATTTTTCTTTTTTTAACTATTGAGATTAATTAACGTATATTTAGGGGACAAAATGAAGAACAACTCTATTTCATCGTTTGCGATAAAAAAAAAAAATAACAAAAATTATTTTAATATTGTTTATTACTTCAATTATAGATATAATTAAAAAAAAAAATAGTATTGAAGAAAATATCTAAAAGCTCGACCAGATCCAATTTAAAACATTCGCAGTTTTTGGTACGACAATTCTAAAGATATCAAGAAACTAATAAAATTGACTGTTTACTATATTTGATTAATATTTGAATTATGATTCTACAATAAAATTATTTTTATCTCCGTCATTAAATACTTAGGTGTTCCAAAAAAAAAAAAATTGTTATGCCCTTAGCATGTACCTGTTTTACGACCTAAATATATTCTCCGTAAACAAAATTTAGCTTTATAAATTATAATAATAATTATTTATCGCAGATCCAAAAAACAAAAAGTGATTTTATTAATCTTTTTTTGTTATTGAAGATACGCTGTTTTGGATGGACAGACATTTTTTGTGGGTTGTGAAAGTATATGGCTAAACCAGATTTCGCGTTTTTTGCCACGGGCATTGACCATTTAAGCTTCATTGTATGATTGAATCATACCAAGTTTTTTAAATACTAATAACACGTATATAGATCACAAATCTCGTACCTAAGAGCGTCGATGGGAAAAAGAGGAGTGTTTCTACAGAACCTTGATCGGTGTCCGATATGGGATTCCTCACTGTGCCCCATAAATAACGTCTTGTTAACAAAACTGCCTTTTGCATAAGCCGCTGAACAAGACACCTAAGGTGACGACGATTATGATGTACGTTTTGCCTGTTGCCGCACACGTATTGATTACTTATAAATCCAATAGAGTAGTTATTCAGCTCGTAAATAACTCCATTACATCGTGTGCGGCAACTGTTAGCTACAATCGATTTATTTTATTGTTAAAATATCAATGCTATTTGATGACTACGACTGAGATTTCCAAAATCCGAACAGGCATTCTATTTACAATGAATACTAATATCATGAATATACTAGAAATATACACGTGAAAAAAAACATACATTTTATTGTTAATTTGATTGAGAAAAAACTATTGCGGATCTCTTATTTGAACGAGAAATCATATATTGTCATAACATGTTTTCAATTAAGAAAATTTCATTTCATTTAAAATGTTTTGCGTTTAAAAAATAATTCTTTATGTAGTTTTTAGAGAACACATTTTATGCGAGTTAATTTTCTCAAATACTTGTACAATTTCTATTATATATTCTTTAACTCGTAAGTTATACCGACAAATTTTCAATTTTAGGGAATAAAAACAAATTAATTGTTACTTTGAGTGAAAAATAGTTATAAAAAATAGAAATTGCGGGATGTCTAGTGCTGCTAGACATTTGTAAGCATCGATAAAAGAATCCGTCAACTTGAGGCAGTTAAATATTTTACAGATTTCTCTTCACTCGATTTTTGTGATCTAATATTTTAGGTTTCTGAATGATATTCATAAACATTTTACTAGCTGTAGATTGATACGACTAAAATGACAATAGATGTTTAACCGCTTCAAATTTAAACAACGTCCCAAGATGACCCATTTGACAGTAACTTAATAATGTTCAGTCTATAAACTTGACATAGTTGATTATGCTGTAATATTTGTCCAGTTATTACCTCAAGTAAAGTTCTATTATTTAGAATCCATCAAAAACTAATTTATCTTATGGATTATTCTTGTTTCTATTCAATCTATGCTTGGATTATTGTCGATATTATTTCATAGATATTATTAGAACTAAAATTTAGAATCATAAAGAATTTCAATACTTATGTTTCGATTATTTATAATCGTTATTATATCATTATTTATTGTTATTGTCATTAATTATTCAAAGTATTAATCGCTTTTGGTACAAATCCATTTTTTAGAATAAATTATCCAATGACCACCGAATTATCCAGCAAAACAACATCAATGAATATTAAATATATTTAATAGTATAATACAATAATTATTTCATTTTTTATTGTTGTTTTAATGATATTAGATATAGTTGGAAATATATGTTAAATGTTTTCAGATTCACTGGTCTTCGAGATATACTGATTGCATCATTTTAGCGCAATTGAATATTTTTTTATAGAATAGGTACTCACGCTTTCCATTTGTCGAATATTGGAAAGCTCAGTGTGTACAACTGCATTCCAATACAAGTTTATAGGTGAGAAGAACAAATAATTATCACTTCGATCAAGTCAATATAAATAGTTACACGTACAACTATAGAGATATTGCATAGTGAGAGAGTTTAAATTTATAACAACACTATGTAAACCACGTCATTTGAAATTTACGACTCTTAAAAGATACGGTACTTATACAACAATATAAATTTTTAGTTTCTCAACAAATATCAATGATCTTTGTTATAAAAAAAACAAATAAATTATCTTGGCACTGAGCTTGCTATTTACAAATAAGCATCAAATGCATTCGATTTCAAGTTGAAAACATATTATTTGAAAATTATTTTTCTTCTATCTCCTTTATTAAAAATAAAATAAAACCCTTATTCGCAATTATTTTATTAAATTTATTTTCCTAATAAAATATAATCTACTAAAACGATTTATTATATATTTAATAACTTATTTTTAATGAGTTTTACAAAAAATTGATAACATATATTCGTTTAAACAAAGAACAGTATTATTTTTATTTATTAAAAGTAAAAAAACTGTAGCTTTCTATACAAACCAGAATAATCAACATTTTTTAACAAAAAACTGAATTTAATACTTAGGTATCAAATGCATTCAAATAAAAAGTTCGAGAAGTTTAAAATTTGTTTTTTTTTTTAATTATGTGCGTTACTATTATTGATGGTGGCCAGCTCAGGCCCAGTAATGTAAAATTTGACTTAAAATATTAAAAAGAAGATTTTTGACGTTTGAAAAAATTCTTAAAAAAAGTTTATTACGTGGATTTTACATCCTACATTCAAGTAAAATACCTGTTTGGCTCACTGCTTTTTTTATGATGATTAATGAGTTAAAAAATGTGTAATCTCCTCTCCTCGTCAAAATATTAAGTTTCGACCAAGTTAGAAAATAATTTGCTTTTTAAAAACCCGAAAATCCTACGAGACAAATTAAGTATACTTTAAACGTTCCCAATGTAATGGCTTCAACGGGTATAGAAAAAGATCAAATTACTCCTACGATAAAATATTTTCGATCATTATTCGATAAAATAATATTTTAAATTAAATAATTCTGAAAAATGTTCAAATTGTAGTAGTTGTGTCTAAAAATGTATTGTGGTTAAATCAAAATGGAGGAAAACGAATAACCGTCAGGATTGTTATAACATGTCGAGATTTGTCTATTTCCATTATGCCTAAGTAATGAATAAAAATAACTGTATTTATTCGAGGCGGGAGAATTTGAACCTTTAAAAATGTCTTTGAAACCAAATTATTTTGTTTATTGTATTAAAATGAACATCTCTCCACAATGAACCGCAAAATACGTAAAAATTTTGATTCATAACATTTATCAGCATTTGATGTGATTGTTTGTTGTTAACGGTATCGCAAAATTACCGTTCAGAGTTCACTGAAGTATTTCAAAAGGAACATAACAATTTTTTATAGGACATCCAACAAAATACCTAAGCCTTCATACAAAAATAGAAGAAAAAAAATGTTAAAACATGTTCACAGTCACGTAGTCTATGGAATTTTAGATTGGCCAGACTCTTTTTATACTTAACTTAAATACAACCCTCAACAAATTGAAAGTTCAATCAATTGCATCAAGTATAAATAACGAGTTAAGGATTATACACACTAAAATCAACCTAAATTAAAACGAATAAGTAATATACGTTGATTATATTTTGTTTAATTTTATATTTTTAGCATAAATTATACAGAGTGTTCAATATATCAATTGTAGAAAGAGTATTGTGCACAAACATTCTAACAAAAATAAATTATGGATATAATATCGAACATATTGCACTCATAGTGCGGATAAATCATATATATATTACATTTTGGTACAACTCGATACAGTTAATAATTTCTGAATAATATTATAANATATTTTACATTTTGGTACAACTCGATACAGTTAATAATTTCTGAATAATATTATAAAATTTGAATTGAACTTAATAAACTGTTAATTGCAAAATCATAGTGACCCACGTAAGACAAAATATAGTAACTCCAACGGGAAGTCGAAATTTTGAAGTAATTTATTTCCAAATATGTACTTTTTTTCGAGATGCAATTATATGCGATTTGTCTGTCAGGAAACAGCGCAGAATGTGTCCAGATGTTGTAAAATAAAATTGAACGTTTATTGTACCACACGAATAAATTACCATAATCAAAGTAGGTTATCCTTGCGACATTTTTTCCGAGTATTATCCAAAATTAGGTTTTGGGAAACTAATGTAATTTAAGGTATTTCAAATACAAGATATTTTTTCCATTAATCATTTCATCCCGTCAGGTATTTATTTCGATGACTCACTCAGAGTGTACCGCTAAAACGGGAACCTTAAACTATCTAGTTTTTTTGTAATTTTCATCATGACGAGGAAAGTAACAAGAAACCTGTAAATAAAGACGCACTTTATTGTCAACCACATCAATGTAAGACCAATGCGGTTTTTTAACCATTATTGAATAGGTTATGGACGGTACAATTGAACAGCATTCATTGTACCGCTGCAGGTAGGCAAGCGATGGTCTATTACAACCATAACAGGTCAAGTGCAGTTCCCATTAGAATAAATGATAAACAAACGATTATAGATATTTTCAGCCCCTGCTGATTCTGAGTCCTTTTAGTTCAGACGCGACCGGTAGTCTCAAAGCGAGATTTCCGGTTACTTCCGGAAAACCCTAGACCGTTATATTTTAATAATTGTTAAAAACGCCACAACAACCTTTTTTTAGCGATCGAGCTGACACGTTTCGACCTATTAAATCAAGGTACCGTAAAAAATGGTTTTTTTTTAACGATTTCATCTTTTCAGAATTTTGTTCTGAGAGTTTGTACGGTTACTGTAAAAAAATAAATAAATAATAATTGAAGTTTTTTGAGTGATCCATGTAAATAACGCGGCGTTGAGGTATGCCAAAAAGCGAACGGGTTTAGACGGCCAACGAATAAAGAGCGCAGTTAAAACAATAACGCTAGTTGTGTTGCATGCCATCGATGTTTCAAGGCAGTTAGTAATTGTACACATATTTTCAAATTATTAATTCTGTTAAACGTTATCAAGCGACACGCGATTTGTTCAATCTTTTCAATGTCGTTTGGCCCTTGACGTGCCTTTACACAGCCGTCGTAATGGCCTATATGTTCAACTCGAGTCACGACTGGACTTTGCTGTTTTTTTACTTTATTACATGGATATTAACACTAGATGGCTGTGGTAAACCACAATAATAATATACCACACACACACACACACTCTTAAGTACACACGTGTTGTGCCGTTCCGGTCATCCGTTGAGGAAACGGGACGAGTTCGCGGCGTTTCTTATCCCGTTTTCACGGTCACGTATCCGCCGGCTTCTTTTTGATAGTTTTTTACTGCTCGTTTTTTTTTTCGGTTGGGCAAAACAGTTTAACAAACAAAGAAACGTGCGTCCGTTCCAATGACCACCAGGACCAATAACGGCAAAACACTGTCATGTTTTATCGATAAATTTCTCCTCGCCCAGTACACTTACCCTGGCTGCGAGTGTCGCCACCGTCTAAAAAACACCCGCCCTCGTGTGTGGCTTCTGATATTGACGATGTGTCGTCAGCCTGTTAAGTATTGTTTTGTTTTATTTTTGTACGTTCTTGCGGCCTGCGATGGTTATTTTTATTATTGTTATGCGCACGCCTGACGGTAACACGTGTGTAAATTACAGGTCAAGTGGCAATTTACAAGCTGTCGGCCGCATAATAAGACAATGAATACTGAACTGTATGAACGACGACTGGCCGGCACAACAACTAATTAGTTCCGTTTAAGTCGGACCGCGCGACAACCGACCCGTTCGCATAGGCTTTATATGGTTTTTTCCAATATTTTTTACCTATTTCCAATAATACGTATGAACGTTGTTTTAATTTAATTTATTGTTTTTTTAACGATCACGGTGGTATTTATAATAATACCGGCTCGTCCGCACTGCCCGGCCATGTACGATTTCCAATGACAGGCGAACACAATCGCTGCTAATATTTTGTTATTTTATTTTCCCATGTATTCTTTGTTTTAGGCTCCGAAGGGCCTCTCTTCCGACACCCTCACAACAGAGACCCGGTGGGGAATCTGTCTCGATAACAAACGAACGTGTCGCGCGTGAAAATAATTATTCGGATACGCATATTTAATATATATTCCCTACAATTAAAATCCATCGTTACAGAACGGATCTGACAGACAAAACGCACGTGTAGAGTGTGTAATAGTATAATAGTTTAATAATAGTAATTATAATTATTATAATATATAATAATAACCGTCATTATTATAAATGTTTATAGGCAATTAAAATATCACAGACAATACTTACAAAAGGCGAACATGTTTAGAAGGGTATCTCGATCGCGATACAACAAATAGTATTTACATATAAATAAATGGCTTCGACGAAGACCGAGCAAAGAAAAAGATAAAAAAGAAGTGAAAAAAAAGACAGAGGAATTTGATTAGACTACAATTAAAAATAATACTTAATAATAATAACAACTATGACTGTATATAGAGTTTAACAAAACTAGAATAATATTAATTATAATATTTTGATTTTACGTTACGAGTATAAAAAAAAAAAAAAACAATTCAATAAACATATACAACGTATATAACAGTGCGGGTAACCGTTCGGTGTACCAAAATAATAATAATAATAATAATAATTAATAGATCGTTTAAAAATCATTTAAACTAAAACACGTTCGATATAAGTGTAAATAAATAAATACTCAACGATAAAAATGAAATTAATAATAAATAAATAAATAAATAAAAACGACGACGACGAAAAAGGAGGATGAAAACTTAATAGGTTTCGTATGCACAGTAAGACATGACGATTTTAATTAATTACAATAATAATAATTAAGTATCGATAATAATCGTCGTGGAAAACACTAAAACATTATTAATAAATAGTTGGGCCCTGACATGACCTCGGTGGTTTTTGATGACTCGATTACCTAACCGCGAATAGGTAGTTTGATTTCGATTGCGGTGGCCGGTGACGATTTGGTAGCTGCCGTTGTTACGTTGGCGTCCGGTAGGAACTGGGCGACATTATTTTTTCGTTTTCAGGAATTCGAACACTTGAATGATATACTGAAGGCTGGTGATGTACTCCCGAAGAATTAGCCAGTCCCTCAGCGACCGATTGTCCGCCGATGATCTCGATTCGGCCGGCATGATGTCTCGCGATACGGGCGGCGTCGCCGTCTCGTTTATTTCAATGATGGCCACCGATATCTCGCACAAGACCTGAAAACGAACAAGGAAATCATTACAACTGTTCGTGCACACCATACGGAAACACTATGCGGAAAACACTTACAGCTCTTAGCTTGAATGTGGCCTCTTTGAAATCCTTGGAGTACGGCAGGCGGTCCCTGTCCTGGTCCCAGGACACTTGTTCTAGACCGACCGCCAAATTTTGCATGCCCACGTTGACGGCGTGCAGTACGTCCTTGAGCGTAAGGCTGTCCAGGTACGGCTCGTCCAGGGGCACGTCTAGTTCCTTGGGCATGTATTCGGCTTGTTGCAACCACACCAGAGACGTATCTTTCCATACGTCGTGGTGTTGTTTAACGTCTACGTGGAACGTTTCGCTGACCTAGGGACACATGAGATTTTCATAAAATTAATCGTATCCAATAAAATCATAACAATCGTGTAGGTTATCCGATCATATACGATTCCTCTCCGTCGAGAATGAACGACGGTCTAGGGGACATCGCGGGACACCGTTATTACGACCGATCGTTTACGAGCGGCGGTTACGGTCAATCCCGTACGCTAGCGGGGCACGTCCGAGAGCGGAAGAGATAAGGCGGCGGTAACAACTCGGCGTTCGATGGAAACACCGGACGAGTGTATTTTCGGTTTTGGCAATCAATAGTGTTGACACGTTGGAACAGGTGAGATGCTAAAACGTCGATCAGATGAGATTAAAGGGCGCCTTGAGCCACTCGGCGGGTGGCAAGAAAACGCTGCGGTGTGGCAACACGGTCGAAAAAACCATATTTATCGTGGTGGCTACCTGTGAGGCGGAACGTCTTCAGTGTCTACGGACGAGGAACTTTTGATAAATGTATTTTTTATGTAGACTACTCGATGTTGTTAACAAGCCGAAAATCACACGCACAGCGCGTTTACATAACAAATCAATCGAGTGTGTGTATAACAAAAACCGAATATATTTTGTGTGTGGCAGCACATAGTGTAGTCGCATAATAGCGCCTACGGAATCCGAAAAAAATAACCGAACGTTGGGAACCGGCGCTGTTCGAACCGAGTGATGAGTCGACACATTCGGTCAGTGACATGTGTACGATTTTTTTCAATAATTTTGTTTTGATTTTTCATTTTGTAAACAATAATAGTGTACACAGAACGCGGCTTCTCTCCGTCCGATTGGGTCGCCGTCGTTGGCTGCGCCCGTCGTTAGATATAATACTGTTGTATATGAAACCATCAGCGTATTTAGAGCTTTCTCTCACGGTCGTCGACGGCGCCGGTGCCGATAGCGATCCACTAAAACTGCGGATCTAAACAGAATCGGTTTTTTATTCGGCACTTTTTTTTTTCCGTGGAAAACTTTTAGCGGCAGTGGCCTTCTGTCGACGTTTATCGAATGCCCTACAATTAAAACAATACTTGTCGGCTGCAACAATCGCATTGTTTCTCAATGGAAAAACACGGACGGTGACAACGACAGTACATTACAATACGCTAAATCGCTAGTTTCAAGTAGATCAAAGAACAGTTTTTTCCCATAGATGATAGCCGTTTACGGATGCACTTTTTTTGCGCGTCGGACAAGATTTTTATAGTCATAATGACGAATAAATGACCCAAATATCATGTTGTAAAATCTAAGTATAAATACGTTCTAATTGAGATTATTTAGTCGTGCGATTATTGTTATTACCGAATTCGCGTTATACATACTGCGTTGTTGCACAAAGATCTTCATTGTAAACATTAAACGTACACAATTTTTGTTTATTTTTAAAAACGATTACCGCACGAAAACGTGTCTGTCTATCCTTGTACGGGGCAAACTACTGTGCATCTAAACGGTTCTAAAACCAAAGTTTTCATTCGGACTTCGATCGATGTCAGACTAGACAACCCTAACGATTACTCAGACACTCTGAGTATTTTTTAGATTGCCTAGTTGTACAATTATGAGCCGTTTGCATTCGTGCACCTTCGATTATCTGAGATGGTACACGATTTTGCTACCGCGGGTGAGAGATAACTATCAAAGGCCGGTGCACGTTGGTGCGAACATTGTTGTGCTGTGTGGTATCCGGTTACCGATAAGAATCGACTGCGCGTCATAAGCAATCCGTAGGCGAATTCTTAAGACGGTTTTCGAGGAAAATAAAAAAAAAAAAGTGCCGTGACGTTTCTGTCATAACATCTTTCTTTTCTCTCTTACTCACATACGGTTTCGTTCTCACTGCGCTCTCGCCACCCGCAATACAATGAATGACTCCAGTACATTGATTTCGCTGAAAAAGCGACTCTGGGCGGCGGCGACACGCAGTCTGTAAAAACATTCTAGTCACCAGGGACTGGAATGAAACTAAAAAAAACGGAACCTTTAAATTTTTTAGAACCCGAACCGGAATAGGAATTTTTCAGATAGCCACGAACAAGAACCCAACCGGAACCTGTAAAGGTTCGTTTAAACGGTTCTTAGCCGCCGAGCAGTATTTTATTTGTATAACTCTAACAACGTTTTATATTTTTGATAACAAATTATGTTGGTAATAATTAGTAAAAGCTTCATTATAGTTTGTCAAATCAAAATTTATGAACTAATCAAGAGTTCCAACAATTGTTTGTTGTCCACAAAATATTATATTTCTATTTTTAAAATGATATAATTATACTTAAAATATAATTATGGCCTGTTTGATTACTATACGGCTCTAAATTATTATTATTTATGACTATCGCAGTCACAAAGAGAAATTATAGTAATGTTGTATGCTTGTGGTTTTTTCAACGGACTTTGGCTTGCGTCTTTCTCTAACGCGACAACTGATAAAACGTTTAACATTCTGTACAGCTTTACGGATTTAAAAACAAATTAAACTTCTTTAAAATTTGGTGATTATGATAATTTTGTTTTTATTTTACGTCTTGGCGCGCTGTTGGATTCTATTTCAAATAATACACGTATACTCATTAATAAACGCGTGCCATTTTGTTATGTTAATGACATTTTTTATTAAAATTAATAATATATATAATATCTACCCGAGGTATCATGGGTTGAAGTAAATCTGTTATTAATAATTATTTTATCTACTGTGACAAAAATAAGACATCAACGTGGAAAGACTGTTCTAAAGTGTATCAAGTAAATTTATGTATTTAACAATAACAAAAGATAAGAGTTTTTAAAGTAAAATCAAAATTAATATGTATAAAATTTATTATTTATTATTCTATTAAATAAATGTTATGGATAATTAATTCTGAAATTTATGTTTATACCTGATTATTTTTTATCATGGTTAGTCATATTTATTAGAATTTACTTGTTTACAGTTTTAGATTTTACAATTTGGTTTTATATAATTTTGTCCGAGACTTTGTAATTGATAAATGTATACATTATAACTTCATATTTACACATGAGTCAAAAATGGATGCAAATGAATGTCTCCTTAACCATAAAGTGATGGTATAAGGGAGGGAGATGATTAAAAAAAGTTAATAAGTATAATATGTATGTTGGTTTATTAATGTATCAAATTAGGTTAAAATTAAAATACATTATACAATATTATTACTCTTTAACTGTGAGATTTTAAAGAAATTCTTGTGTCAAAGCGAAAGGCGATTCACCATCACACCTCCCCCCCCTTATAAACGCCTTACAGCAACCAATATTTTACAACGAACTGGACAGACGTTTGAATATCACATCTGCTAATTTCTGAGACGACTTTAAATTGAACTTTAATTTTGAAGTTTTTAATGAAATTGTAACGATTTGGATGCAACCTATTTTTTTGGAAACCGGAACTTTTATTTTCGAAAACTCGAACCGAACCGGAACCTATAAAAAATATGGTTCCAGTCCCTGTTAGTCACATGCCGATCGCCAAATTATTATTTAAAAACTATAGTCCAATAACGCTGCGTGTGAAGCAAACAACGAAAATCGTTTTTTATGCTTCGACTGACGCAGTTTCGGTTTATTTTTTTGTACGATTCGTAATTCATACATTGCAATTGTTTTACATAAGAATTGAAAAACAATATTTTAATAAGAGAATAATAGACTGTGTGGGTGTAGACGTTGCTGTGACAGCGGTGACCGGTCTTGGGCATTCACAAAACGGTTTCCGCAGGTGTCATAAGTATGAGAATTGCGACGGCTTATCTCCGAGTAAATTCATTCGCATTGTTGTGTTATCTGTGACTTTTTTTTTGTTTAATATCGTCTTGCAGACCTCGAGAAATTTTTATTACAATTAAGACGTACATAAAGAGAAAATGGGGAAAATATTGTCTACTGTTTGAGATATTGTACTGTCCAGCAATTTACCTACAAATATATAAATTCATTGTTGTGGTTTATTTTTTTACATGGAGATGCAGTGCAAAAAAAAAAACACATTAAATAAACTGATTATGAATCGGTGTGAAAAAATGCATTTATGTATGTACTCGCTTTATTTTTAAAAAATGGTGAATGCAAATATATTAATGTGAATGTAGACGACTCATTCCAAATGAATTTACGACAGAAAAATTTTTGATCATTTTCTGAAAGAAATGTGATAAAATATAGTGATGAGCAATTTACAACCTTAGATAAGTCAATAGTCATCAATCGTTACTACAGCAAAAGATTTCGTATTTATATCTCACCCATATTTTAAAAACTAAAACATCTAAGAGTTCTGTGTCAGTATATTTATTATTAAAAACAATTATTATTTTTTTTTTATTCGATAATTTCATAATAAAATATTTATTATTTTTAAACTTGTTTATAAAGTTAAAACTGCGTTTATCTGAAATTGCACCTTTCCGTAAATTATGTGATTTCTATAAAAACCCTATTTTAGAAGACCGCTTTTAATAAAAAAAAATTTGGAAATGCATTCCACATTTTCGATAAATGTAAACGTGAACGTATTTCTTTTTGAAATGGAAATTAGAACAGATTAGGTTTAAAAATAAATATTCCAAACTCTGTTATGAATGACATCGTAATAACGGATGCTGTAAATAGCCCTCTTTTAAACGATACATTGTACTATATATAGTAATGGGGCCGAGTTTTTGTCGAATGATAAACCGTTTTAGAACGATCCGTTTAATAACAACAATAATAATAATATTTATTATATAATATTTAGAATAAACAACAATATTTAACTTACAAAAGCGTTATTTTTAAAGAGCGAACGAATGTGGTGCGTTTAATCTTATTACAACGATCAAAATTTAATTAGATTTTGTTACACATAATTTTTTTATGATTAGCCGCTGTAATCGAGTATACATATATCGCCTATGCATAGCAGTCGTGGGTTCTGAGAATCCAAATCAGGTCAAATACTACCCGAATGGGTTGCAGTGGCTATTGCTCACGACCGCAGTGTTTACAAGACGCCAAATTCGGGATGATCGATACGTTTGCAAAAGTAATTTCAGACTATATACGATGTGTTTACAAATTTTACTTTAGTAAATAAAGCCATTCGATAATTAGGTTAAGCACATCGGTTTTACTGGAATAATATGACAATTCTTTGGTTACATCGATTTGTAAAATAATGTGAAACGCAACGAGGAAAAATGACACATGTAATTATTTGTTGTAAATACATTGATGTACTGAAGGTAATGTTATGGTTATTGTGTCGGTGCGTAGGGGTACACAAGTGTTGGACATTAATCAACGAGAGGAAAAAATGTGTACCCGAAGTAAACTAAAGTGATCCATAGATTTAAAAATACAAACAATGTATTGTCCGTCAATTGTGCATACGTTTATTTACACCTGAAGGATATGACACAATATCGTACAAATTATTGATTGTATAACAATTTTACAATGAACTTGTGTTGTAAAGTTCGCTAAATTAGACTCGATTTAGGCGTAAAAAAATCTTTTCGAAATAAAATGAATGCAATGGATTTTCAATGTCCGAATGTAATTCCTTCGAATAAAAAACTGGATGTTTTCTTCGTATCATTATTTTGACTTTTGATACATACATTTTAATGAGTTTGACCTACGGTGACTTGAATGAGTGGTCGTGAGGTTTGTTATAAAAATATTTTGATTCGCCTAATTCGACAAATGTTATTAACACATATGGCGTGTCTAATGCAATTTTTTACGCTTTTGTAACGGTTCCACCCCTTGGACGACCTTTTCAGACGGTTGCGGTACCAAAAACCGTTTCGAATCGAAGGTACATCATTCGACTGTTGCAGCCGCCGTTTCATTCATTCGTACCGCCATTGTCCCCCTCCGAATGCTGAGCACGTGCGGCGCCTCGCACGGTTAGCGATTCATAGTAATAATGATGGAGTTATAAACGGTATTTATAGTATCGTTACAATATTATCATGATTAGCGTTTGCTTATTCAGACACTCGATCAGATCGACACGGCGCGCAATAATATACAGCGTTGAAGAAACATGCCGAAATGGATAAATCGATCTTCGCCCGTTAGTAAATTAACCGATATCGGTCGTGCAAACAAAACAATAAAAAAGTACCGTTAAAAATGACTTGACCGAACGTGCAAAAACAATTCTACCGACCTAACAACGGTTGGTTTTGATATGATACTTCGGAACGCGTTTCCGGGGAAAATAACGACGAAAAAAATAAAAAAATACTCACGAATGATCCGGCAAACTGTTCGGCGTGCATCAGTGCGTTGCTGGCGGACACGGCCACGCCATCGATGACGTCCACCAACCGTCTGGGGTCCGAGTCTATCATGTCATGGCCTCCCATGCCGCTTCCGCCTCCGCTACCGGAACCGCCGCCGTTGCAATTGCTGCCGGGACCGCAGTTCATGTCGTCCATCATTTGCATGCCGCAAGGGTTGTACCAAAACGGCGTGCCCGACGGTTGACTGGACGACTCGTCGGAAGACTGATGGGAATGCAGTGACGACGGTATGGGAGCTGGCATGGTGCAGGGTACTAAGATCAGACCGATGACGAACGAACCAGCTGGAAAAAAATAAAAAAAACGTGTAACAATAAATGCGCAATATTTCACGGGCCAGCCCAATGGAAATGTCGTGTGTCTCTTGACCAATGTGCCGCGCGTACAATACCGACACTGGCGAACGTAATTAGCGCGGAGAAAATGTCATTGTGCGATTTGTGGTCAGACCCTCCGCCCGTCACCGGGTTCGTCATATACAACTTTGTAGAATCAAAGAGAACACGCAACATGCAGTCGATGAACAGCGTCGTGTGTTAGTAACGTGGATAGCCGGTCTAAGGTATGCGGCTGCGTTATTTACTCGTGTCTCGAGATGTGTACTTATTTTTTTAATCCGTTTCTATTAGACGAGATCGGTATGTCGGCCGGCACCCCCAATTAGTAGACACGGTACAAATCGCTGGAGGGGAACGCGTTTGCACTATGCAGAAAACGCGGGGAGGACGGTAGCAGGGGATGAGAATGGCATATTGTCGTTTCCGAGCGGTGGCTGCTAATCGGCTCTCTCACGGGGGCACATTACTGGCTAATTATTGTTGTCCGTTTGTGTGTGGTATTGTTGTCACGGGGACCACACACGCGAGCGAGGACGAAAACGCGTTCAACAGTTGTCCTCGTCATAGGCGGTACTGTATTCTTTACATTTTTTTTATGTATTATTACTTTTTTTTTTTGCAAAAGCTCGCCGAACGATTATCGAGAAATCCGCGGCAAACTGCTGATTTTCACGATATTTTCCCTATATATATATATATTTTTTTTTTTATTGTTACTAGCAAAACGATGGGAATAACCTGATCGTTGCGCGTTGTATAATTATCACGACGTTTGCAAGTAATAACAAAAATTAGAAATATTCTGACGGGAAAAAATCAAAAGAATTCGAGTCTCGGTGAGCACCTAGACACATAGAAAATAAAAAACATGATAACAACGGGTTTTTTTTTTTAAGAAAGATTGTATCTTATTTCTAACGAGTGTTTTAATAACTGGCGTTTGTCAAATTTGCCATAGGGACATATGTATCATCGAAAAGAAACCGATCGTAACGCTAGTTAATGACCAAACGCGTTTTCCCCCGTCAGGTTCGCGTCTACGTGTTTTATTCATGGGTTTTTTTTACCGCCGACAAGTCGGTATTGTGGAAAAGCGATCACGTTAATGTACACTGTAGTTGCAATGCGTGTACTTGCAATAGTGTTGGAGATTCATAAAAACTGCCGAAAACACTTAGTCCAGCGTATCACGAAAATATTCGTATGTACAAAAACGGTATCGACTATTATTATTATATTGTTCTTATTCCGTCGCTACTATTTGTTGCCGTCGACGGCGATGACGTGTGAATTGTGTTATACACACACACGCACAAACAAATAAGTGTGTGTTTGTACAGAATGTAATAATGTCGTTGATATTATTGTGCTCTGTCGATTCTGCTGCAGTCGAACCGAATGATTATAACGAATACGATATCGATCGGACGCCAACAGTAGGCGTGAGTAATTTGTAAAATCACGGCAGTTTAATTGAAGAAAACAGATAAAAAGAAGAGCGGCATAATATCGAGAGAGAGAAATTCGGCTGTACAGGTAAACACGCGCACGTGTGTATTATTACAGATTTCGGAAATCGTCATCCGGAAGCGACTGATGACTCATTGGGGTCGCGATCATATACCGCCGCCGCCGTCTCATCGATGATGCCAATAAGATTTTTTTATCTTCTACTCGCATGGAATCGTTTTTTACACGCGATTATCATACTCGTCACCGCCGCCGATCGGTTGAGGTCAATACAAATTCAATGGTACGGTTAAAAGTGAAAATAAAAACGTGTCGTACATTTTCTCGTGTATTCGATTAAATTTTTATTTTAATTGTCATCACAATGTGATTTGTGGATTCAGTGACTGGCTGTCGTCCAGAGCGCTATAATGATTTTCACACATCTCCCTTACTCAAAAGACTGCGCAGACATAACAATATCGGGCACCGAGCAATACATTATAATAATATCGTTATTATTATACACAATTAATATATACATATGAGTGTACAGTCTAGTGCGACGATTATAATGTCGTGATAAAGAAAACGCTAACGTGTCGCGATTAGAACGGATTGTTCCTATTTGAGTTACTATTATAATGACTGAAACATTGAAAACGTCAGTTTTTTGCTTTCAACGGCGTTTTGCAAATACGACGTTGGCGATGAGACACGGGCCGACCCAACCGAGACGTGATCTATACTGGAAAGGGGAAGGGGCGAGTGTAAGTCAAGCATGGGGAAAACTCACCGATGAAAAGCCGATTGTATCTTCCGTTGTAGTTGGGGGCGAATCTCCGACGACCGCGAACGGTCCGGGGCTCGGTTTGACGCCGACAGTGTTCGCGGTAGCAATCCACGCATACCGCTTCCAAAGTGTCCATTGTACGTTGATAATAATTAAAAATGTTTATTTATCGATTACGCGAAAAAATAATAACATTAATCAAATAGAAAACGAGTGTAAACTTTTTAAGTAATTGTGCACAGCGATCGTGTGTGCCGACGACACTTCACTTGGTAATAATACAAATTTTACTGTTATCGAAGTTCCGCCAGCGAACCGGTGCGACGAATAATGCGACAAAAATGTAGTGTACACTCGACGGTTAGCGGCGAGAGATTGTCGATGACGGTCGTGTGAAGTACGATAATTTTCAAAAATACAGTCTGCTGTCGCAATACGCACTTGCAACTATGAACGCGTGTGTATGATCGTGAGCGGTGATGATGACCGCTGCGGTATACCGTCGACCAAAAACGATCAACTGAGATAGCCACCTGACTCCGGTGGACATTTAAGTCACGACGGTGTGGACCGGGCGGCGGCGGCAGGAGCAGGAGCAACGGCAGCGGCAACAGTGCCGCCGTCATCGTAAGGGCGGCCCGCCGAAACCCCCACCCGGATTCCTACCGTGGGTTTTCCACCCGGCCGCCGGTTGACCAATGGCGATCTCCCGTACCGAAGGTAGGACCGGCTCAAGGCAACGGGGGTTCATTCATGTATCGCCAACGCCGCAACGGACTCCCCTCCGCGGTCTACACGCGGACACTCACACGCATTCACGTATTGTACGTACACACGAGCGGACGCGCCAGCACACACGCACACTCACATGCGGCGCTCAACACCGGCGGTGACGTCAACGGGCTGTGACACACTGCCGTGGCAGCATGGATCTATCGTGCGTCGGTCGGTCGCGTTTTCTTCAGTCTACCGGGGGTATCCCCAAACGCCGCCCACACCGTGGCCGCAGGAGCCGCCAGTCGCCTTGGCGCACACCGTCCATAGACCACTCGGCTTGGTCAGCGTTGTCTTGAGGTGTCCACGACGGAACATCCGTTATCGGCTTCTGCTAGTCTCCAGTACTCGGAACAAGAACTTCCCTTGTCGCGGAAACTTTTTGTGACCTCGTCAAGTACCATGTGTAATATTCATATATTTTATTACAAGACAAAATCAAGTTAAATTTAAATCGTCCGTTCTGTTTTTACCGTTTCCACGTTTTTACTCGGTTGCTCTGCGCACTCGTACCATTGCTCCTTTGTTGTACGTTAGGGGTGTGTAGCAACCGGGTGGGTTTTATCGGAGGACGTGCCGCTGCGGTTAGCCACTGCGATTACTCCGCCCCTCTCCAATCACTTACGTGCTATTACTGACAGAGGGTTGACGTGTGGGACCGAGAGGCGGCTCATTTAAAACGCCGTTCATCATCATGCGGGTAGGCAATGGTTGAGTATATTTACAGCTAAATTTATTCGTTTTGAGCATAGAATGTTATAATCTATTTTGTTATATCAAAAAGTCAGTTTACAGTAAATACAAGGGGTAGTTGAGTTAAAAGAAAAATAAATTATTTTAGCATTAAAAACACATCTCATATTTTGATTACGTTTATTTATTCTTAATGAATGTATTTCACCATATTGTTCAAGTGAATTATTCGAGTTACGCACATAGTATTTTTTGATCGAAATAAAGCTCCCCATTACTACTCGACCAACATTGAGAATATTCAGTATGTTATGCAAGGGCGTATTTAAGGGGTATGATCGCCTCCCCCGGATCAGTGCTTTCGATATTTTTTTAGGTTAAAACTTATAAATATGGCTCTGAACGCCTTTGTTTTTTTAGTGGTCACTTTGATTCTTATCAAACAAATTTTACTAGTATGCCTGGAAATGTAAAACAAATTAATTAATTCCCTTAAAAATTATTTCTAAATACGCTCCTGTACAATTAAGCTGTGCGTCTACACTTTTAAATCTCAATCAACTTCAATAAACATTTATTCAAATTCAAATTATACATCAACTGTCAAATGTAAGAGTTCTCGAAAAATAAACTACGATATCATAATTTTTCTATTCCTATTCTACTAATGTCAAATTTAAATGTTAGACTAGAGATGCTAAAAAAACAATATTGATATTAAAAAAACAATAATTACAAGTTTTAGCTCATATTTTACTTGAAACAAAATTTTATTTATAAATAAACAAAAATAATTAAGGGAGAGCCTTGAAGTATTTTCAATAAGTAGTAAATCAATATATATTTTCCAAGTTTTTACCAATTAATAATATTGTATAATTATTTAATTCCTCCCGTTGAGACATCTAATCGTCAAGTGTTGTTTAAAAGTTAACACAAAGTTATAGATAAGTATAGAAATGTCGGAGAATGAAAAATTATAGTAATAAAATACATGAAATGTGAAATTGTTTTGACTTGTGGGTGTAAGAAAAGAAATTAATTTATTAGACTCGTGTAAAACATGCTACCTGTCTTGACACATGGTGTTGACACGAAGTAGACATTAAAAAGAAAAAAGTCATCACAATTTTATCTGTAGCGAATACAATAAAAAAAAATAAAAAAAATGGTAAAAATAATAAAAATCCAACGCGACCATGAGAAGAATGTAGATAAACGCATTTTTGCATTACAGTATACCGTTGTCTGCACTTTAAAATGCCGCTGCCGCAATTAATATAATGATGATTACGATTGTTATTAACGTCTGCAACTGTGTGGTAATTGTAAAAAACCGTTAATAACCAATACACTAAATAGCCGCTGAACTATTCTTCAAGTCCCATAGATTTACATAGATAAACATTAAATAAGAACTGACAGCGAGTTTATATTTAAAATTCTGTTAAAAAATATTAAACACAAGACCTCAAATTATTATATAATTGTTATTTTAATATAATGTAAATATTTTCAATTTGATAACATCAAATAACGTTAATATTTTCATTTTCTATGTTACTGCCGTGTTAGTTTGTATGATTATTTTTGATTGCATATAACTATAAGCAAAAATAATAAAAATGAAGAGCTCTGTGCAAAAACAAGGTAACTCCATTTTTCAAAAACTTTCGGGAAACTAAAAAAACTAGAAAATTTTAATATGTACATCTGAGAGAAAATGAAAAACATATTTTGTTTCTCATAATAATTATATATTATGTCTTGGTAAGGCGTATTCGTTATACTTACCGTAAAAAAGAACCGTCAAAATCTGATTTTGAAAAATAAAAATTTATCTTGTTTTTGCACAAATAAAAAATAATAAGCGAGTGTCAAAGGTAATCATCTAGTGGCTCATTTAATTGTTTATTTGAGAGTATATATACTTAACGCCTTTGGTAATATTCGAGGACTCGGAAATAATTGTTCATATTTTACATGCGTCAATAGTGTCAAAACTGAAATTGTACGAATAAACACTCATTAAGTCGGTGCGGTTTTTTTACTTGCGATGAATACAACAGAATAATATGATACGCCGTCATTTAATCGAACGTTTACACTTGAGCAACCACAACGCCTCCAACACGATGTCGTAACGGTGCAATTAGTGAGCAGTACTTCCGATAGCGAAAGAAAAGAGGTTGTAATCCGATAAAAGTTAGGGTGGTCGAGACCCTTGTCGGTTTCCCTGAATTCTCATAAAAATCTAATTATTTCCTCACTCGCACTGGTACCATGAATTTGACGTCATCGAGTCAACCGTAATGTCGCGGGCGTTGTCCTACGACAAAAAACGCACTAATTTCTCTACATCCCAAAGGTGATTACACATATTGTGTCGTATCCTCACCCCCGTCGTTCTTGAAGCACACGGTACTTACTTTGGGTTGTTATACGCTTCCTCTGTCTGTTCTTCGAACAGCTTTTGCTTGAGATAACGTTGGTGTGCGGTACAATTATCTTGTTGCAAAAGAATACGGTGAATCGCCAGGTTCTTTCTAACTAATNGTTGCAAAAGAATACGGTGAATCGCCAGGTTCTTTCTAACTAATCGTCTCTGTAACGAACAAAAATGAAAAATTCATCAATAGAATTCTAAGAATGCACGTCGTAATTATAAAAAGATTTTTTAAATTTAATGGTTGAGCACGTGAATTCGATGGAATCAAATGACATAACTTTACATTAGGAAGTTTCCGGAAAAATGTTTACACAAAATAAATCAGACGTATAAATTAAAACACTGTAAAGAGACAAATAAAACAACATTACTAGGTATAGATTTTTTTAAATCTTTTAACTTTAAAGTTCAAGTTAATGATGACTCTTTTAAAACAAAATTTTGATTAATATAATAAATATAGCTCTTATATAAATAGCTCATAGAAAATGCTATTTTTGGTAACAACTATACATGTCAATGAAAAATAGTTAATTAAGACAGTTATTAAGAGTAATAAATTATTTATCAAAGAAAAGTTTCCTTCATAGATTAATTTACAAACAATGGTAATTATGGAAGTAGTAAAACTTTTTCCAGTGTGTACCCAAAGAACTTTATAAAAAGTATATTATTTTTTATTAAAATAAACCCACCATCTTAAAAATGGCGATTCAAACTTTAACTAAATGCAAATATTTCACATGTGTAATAAATAAAATCAATAAACAAATTAAATCTTTGTGTTACTATATAGTTTATCAGTGTCCTAAATTTAAGTAATACACAAAATGGATAATTGAATAAGAGTGTTTCTTATACAATGAAAAAGTTACAATGTTATCTACAAGAATAATTAAAATTGGTAAATAATATGTAAATTGATGTCATAATATATATCAAATAAATGACAGAAGTATTATATAGGCACAATATTATGAGTAATTTAATATAATTTCAATTTATACCTGAACTACTTATACTAAGCATATAATATATAAAAAATGTTATCTAAATGTATCATAGAATATATTACTATTTAGTTAAACTATCGCTTTGACGTTGATTGTTTAATTTTGTATGATTCATTAATATGTAAGTAAAAAATGCACTTGAAATAATTTTCAAACATTATTTCAGTACTCAAAAGTTTAAGCAAGGTATTTAAAACATTACATATTTAGATAAAATTTCAATTTTACTATTTCTTGGATTTAATATAAAAGGAGAATGTAACCATAATCACTATAAATATAAACTTTTTAACTATACACTTGTAGTTAAAACTGTTGTTTTAATTTAATAAACCGACAGTACATTACTTGTGTAGTGTTATATTGTATATTTTTATTATTATGAACTTTTATATAAATTTTCATTTATTTATTTTAATCTATAAGTTACAAGTTTTCATAAAAATATAATTAATTTAATGAATACTTTTATATTTTTAATATAAAAAGAATATTTTACTGGAGTCAGTCAAAATGTAACAACATTATCCAAGGTGGTGCAAATTGTTACAGTTTACTTAATTTTAATATATTATTTTAAAAATAACAAACAAAAATAATTTCTATTATAAAATATTATAATAATAATATCTTTGCGAATTATAACTCGATAGTTATAAAAAATGAATAATGAAATGTCATATTATGCAATTTTATTATTCCCCTTAAAATATTTTAACTGCCCTAAAAAAACTCTTTGGTGAAATCAACAACTCTTTTATTATTTTACATTCAATGATATTTTTTTTATAAATAGATATTTTTTATTAGATGAACTATTTTTTTGTTGATTTTAAAATAACTTGTTCATCTAATCAGTTTTTTATTTTTTATAACAAAAATAATGGTTAATAAAAAACTATGATTAATTTAACAAAAATTTTATTCAAGATATTTTGATAATGTATTTATTGATTTTATCGGAGGATTATTTTTAGCGTNTCAAGATATTTTGATAATGTATTTATTGATTTTATCGGAGGATTATTTTTAGCGTGCGGCATTATTTTTCAACTTAAATGAAATAAATTATTGTTTTTTTACTAAATTCACAAAATAAAAAAAAACATTTCTTCTACTGGTAATAAATATTAGTATAGAAAATTTTCATAAACAACATTATCACACAAAACCACATAGTTATTTTTATGATTTCAAAACAAACAATTAAATAATATTACCTACTGACTAAGAATCAAATATATCTCATCATATATCTTTGGTATCGAAAAATAAAAAGTAATGAATCTACAAACATTTTTTTTGACACAAAAAAACATAATAAAATGTTTATAAATTTTAATACTGGTAAGGTATAATCAATATTTTCACAACATATTTTAAGAATTAATTTATCTATAAAATCATATTTTTGACATAGTCTTATTGTAATTCCAAATTAAAATAGCTCAACAGCTACAAATTGCCCCGTTCTCCCCTACTATAAAACGGCATTTTTTTTTTTAATAATTGAGTGTTAACAAATAACCATAGTCATTCAATATTACGCATGACAAGTATTGACTAGTACTTAAAAAGGCTCTTGGCTTGAAATTTTTTTTCTCACAATCGACCACATAAGAGTATCGTAAAATAACTATTATATCATCAAAATTATGAGAATCGCATATTAAAAATTATTCTAAAATCTAAATTACATATTTAATAATGATTACATATATTTTACTGTGGTAAT